TGTAGGGAGTGGGCGATTCATGCGAGGATCGACAATATGTATTGAAAAAAGAGATTGGCTAATTTACCTTTTCATATAATGATTCCACAACATTTCCCATTTGTTTGAGTGTTTCCAAGGCACCTTCATATGTTTTCTATAAGAAAAATAATTAAATTGGTTTGCATGAATTTTATGAACGGGTATTAAATAATTAATCATTCGCAGGAAGGAGAAATGAAATAAAATAAAACAATACATCTTGAGGAGGCTCATCGAATACGATCAAACATCCCGCTCCCTGATCTAAAATCCCGTGAAACACTTTATCCAAGATCATTTGCGACAGCTTAGTTTCCACCTGACTGGTGGGAAGTTTAACCATTTCCGCAACGTGTGAAATCTCCACCCTCGAGAATGGTTCTATTATGCGCACGAGATTTTGCTCAAGCAGTGTGTCATAAAGTGCAGCGAGATGAGACCGGATGATCGGGTCATTTCCCAATTCTTTTTTCGGTAAACGCGCACAGGTTGAAAAACCGGAAAGTTTGCCATGAAATTTTCAAAATTAAATTAAAAAAAAAATGAAACTTTGCAAATTTATAAATTACCATCTCTGTAAGTTGCGAGCGAAGTTTCGAATTCATTAAGCGAACGATTTTGGTGGGCTGTTGCTATGGCTTTCATGGCGTCAACTTCGCGACCGGCATAGCGCAATGCGAGTTTGCCATTAATAATGGCATGAACGTCTCCCGACTATTCGTTCGCAAAGAAATGATGACTTCATGAATAACAAACATCCCGAAAAGGTGACGTAAGAGGAGTGAATCCCTACCAAATTCAACATAATTTTACAAAGTAACATGTACTTTAGAGCCAAAATAGCCCGAGAATCATCTTGTGACGAGTAGCCTTCCAGAGTTTCGTAGAAATACGAGTAACTACATCATTCAAAGTATGGGTAAATTAATTAGGTAATCGCTTTAGGCACAAACACTCGGTAAATAAATCCCATACGCAGTCTTGTAATCCTTATCCTCGGCGTGCAGAATTCCTGACTGCATATCGAGTGCGGCCTGGAGAAGGGGCGGACAATAGATTGCATTCGCCGAGGTTCTGGCGGACGTCAGCGCAGCCTTGTGAAATGAAAATAAAAAAGAAAGAAAGGTGAAACCGTTATTCGTTCGTTCAACAATCCGAATGTCAAATGATTGATCGGAAACATACTCTTGATTTTGGTAAATTTCTCAGTGCATGACAAACCCTACTTTCCAAGAGTTGAACTTCGACCAGTACCATCTTGTCATCTAACCTCTTCAATTCTTTCAAAAGTGAGTTGATAAGATTCAAAGCGTCGTGATACATTTTGTTTTCTAGGTATCTAGAATGGATTATAGTTCATCGTAAGCGTCCAATCTAGGAACAACGATTCGATTAC